CTGCCAGAGGGTTAATTAAAATAACATTTGTTTTGTTACTTGTTAATTCTTTTTGTTTTCACGTGTTTGAATAAATAATGTAGTGCTACTTGTTCTGGTTTGTTACAAGGTACATAATGAAATTATTTGCAAATAGATTTTTCAACTATTTTATTTTCTCCATGGAACAGATACGATAAACTTTTTCAAATAAAAAACTGCACTAATTCAAAAAGCTGATTGTTTATATTCTTTATGTACTTATTTTTGCCTTGGAAAATACTGTATTTCTAAAATTTGTGGATATGGACATTTTTAATCTAAAATCAGTAGCGTTTTAGCATCTTATGACATTGTATGTAAAACCATCAATAGATAAATATATAAATTATTTCTATTTCTTAAGTTGACAGAATTTAGACATTTGAAGTAAATTTGATCTCGAGCTGAAATGTTGTTTCTCGAACATGCTAATTACTTGAGAGCAAAAACTAAAAATACTCATTCATTGATAATTAATTATTAATTTTATTTAATGTTTATTTATAACAGTCTTCCCGAGTGTAAGACGAGGTTTTTAATCTAATTATCTCATTCGAAAGTTAGTAGGTCGTCTTGTATTCGCATATTAAACGTAGTCGGTTGGGATCTATCTTCAGACTTGGGTGAAGAAACTCGAATGCAGCCCTAACAGCAAAATGAGCTGCAAATGTGATAACTAAAAATCGTTCAAAAATGCCTTAAAAGTGCTCTAAAACATATCCACTTCATGATTTGTACACTGCCAAATATTTCTTTCTTCGCTTAGGCCAATAATTTGCCATGATAAAATATTCAAAACAAATTGAATATTGTAAAACTCAGAATACAAAACATCAGTTCACAAAACTGTATACCAAAGACATAAATTCCGAAGATAGGACCTCCACTTCCTCTGCATCACCTTCGAAAACCATTGACACCGCGTTGACAGGATCTAGTTACTTGTGCCGATAATAATTAGGGTGGCGACAGCAGCATTTTTGTATTTAGAGTTGAACTGTTTAAGTACTAAAAAAATAAATGAAACAAAGTAGAAGTGTTTCTCAAGAATGAGAAAAAAGACGCAAAATCCTAGCCCTAGTGATAACTTCACGCGTATCTAGTACGTTATATTCGGGGGCACCCACAATGGATTTGCCACGCGATTTAGATTAATATTTTTAATGGAGCGGTGAAGTGACAATATCCGACGAATGGGATTGTAGAAAGTTAAACGCTTTGTAAAAATGAAGAGTTGCCGATGTTTCGTTACATGATGTTCGGCGAGGTCGCATGGATTCTCAGCTCGGGTTGTGTGGCCTCGCCGCGCGAACGCCCAGCGAGTGCGAATTTGCGCTTTGCAAGAGGGAAAAGAAAAAAGTCACATAGGTAGAAATACACATTCTACGTCCAACCATAGAGACGGAATTCGCAAAACAAAATACTGAAACCTTGGTTACTGCTCTCTTCCGTATTATCCGCAAAATTGAGACGGAGATGTACGGATTTGTAATTTACAACTGGTTAACGCGAATTTAAAGTTAATGCTTGTTACAGAACAGAAGTCACGAACAAGTGCGCCTCAGGAAGAAAATCTGGTAGTAGAGAATGTGGAGTGAAATGGAACGCAAATTCAAAGCTCAAAACTTTCAGGGGGGGTAGGGGTGGCTAAAAAGTCAGAGGATGACCCAGTTTGGGAGGAGGATCAGAAAGAAAGAAACAATTGACCATTTAAAGATTAAGATGGAAGTGACACGATGATGATAATGACTGATTTTGAGGAATAAGAAAATAGCAAGAGCTCAAGCAAAAGACAATTTTCTAGTCAATTAGACAAATTGCGATCTTCTTTTTGTCTAAATAGTATGAGTAAGTTAAAAACTCTCAAGAGGCCTGTTCAAATTCAAGGGGTTGTCTTATATTCGGGGAAATATGGTACATCAGCCTGCAGTTTTTAACAACATTGACCAGGTATCTAAACCCAACTTTTCAGAAAAATATATATATATATATATATATATATATATATATANTATATATATATATTTATTACAATGCTTTAAATGTCTGAAACGCTGTAAGACAATCAAATATGTCAATTTAAATTTTCTGGAAGTTTATAATAATTATACAAGGTCTAAACATTTCCTAGAAAGTATTTTTTCGTATTCTTTTCCTTTCTTACAAGTGTTCATCTATCTATACTATTAGGTATTCCAATTGCTTGGGTAAGGAAGTCAATTATTACAGTGACTTGTGATTTTTGCTATGTTGAAATTCATGTTGCTATGTTGTTCATTTAGTGTAACAAAAACACCATTTTATAACCAAAATTTAGTGTCATTTAGGAGAATTGTACCACATCAATCTGATATTCCCTGACAATGCTGTAGGTACATTGAAAAGTGACAATTGACAATTCGAAAAAAATAATTTCCTATTGATCGTTTAAATCTTTTAAAAGTAATATGCATTTAATAAGTTAAAAAACTCACAAATTTGATCTTGTTACACAGTGTTTTAAGAATTTAAACATACAGCTAAAACAATAAATCTCTGTACATTTGGAAATTTTTAGTCCACATAAAAAAAATGTTTGCAGGTTCGAGTTCTACATACCAAAATAGTAATTTCAATGTTATTGTGCAGAATCATTGTATGAGTGTTATTGTCGGAAAAAACATGAATAAATTTAAGTAACCACTTCATAAGTGGTGTTGGTATTATGTTAACAAATAGTTGAGCATTTGGTGCTCACATTTCATTGTCTTGTACTTTGTTTGATCTTGGTTGTCTTGAACAAAAGGCAGAGGACACACAGACAAGTAACCTCAAATTAGTGATTGGAGAATTTTTTTAAAATTCATATTGCATGTAGAAGCATTAATGTGGTTTTATGTGACCGCCTCTTTGCTCTAGAAATAATTTCTCATATTAATGGAAATACATGTATTTTTAAGCATATCAGTTTCGCAGACATGGATGTCAGAAGTATGGGATAAGGAAGGATGAAGTGCATGAAAGTGGGTGTTACCAAAACACCTCTAAGAACTAGGGTGAACACTGAGCCAATCAAGTGAATCAAATGAAGTTCTTTTGGTTAAGCTAATACAAAGACCAAATACATAATTTAGTTGGGATAGTATAATTTACTTTTGTGATAGGAAGGAAAAATTCATGAGAATTGCTTGAAAGGGAGGAGTGGTACTAATTTTTGTTTTCCATGGTACTGTTGTTCACCATCTCTAATAGATAATCTGCAAATAGATAGATCTGTCTCCCCAACTAACAGAAAATTCTGAAGACATAGTTCTTTTTCTTTTCTTCTTTCTTCCCATAAAGTTCTCTCCTAATTGATAGTTACTGATTTTTTATTCATTTCTGATCAACTGCAATAAATTATATTTGTATTTTATTTTTCTAGAAATCTGAATTGATTGATCTGTATTATCGAAATTTGATGTTAGCAATATAGATAAGATATATTTGGAAAATTTTAAAATAATTTTGCAAACTGAGTCAATATAGAGAATATAAAATTAGGGAGTCTAAAAGGGAAATTATTTTAAATTTTAATTAGTGCAATAAAAGTAGCAATTACAATGGAGTAAGTGAATTAAATTGCCAAACCCGAGCAGAAATAATTTTACACAGTTATTTTTAATATTTTATAGTGTTAGATTCTTTTTGTAATAGATAGTAAATTTTTTTTTTTTATATTGAGACATGATTTCAACTAATACATTTTTTTGATCAGGAATTCATGTGAACTGAAGAAGAGAAGGCGTGTTTGTAAATTGTGGGCATTTCTGTAGAATGTGATTACTTTATTAACCTTAACATACAATAGAACTCCAATTTTTCAAATTGAATGGAGGCCGGCTTGATTTGAATGTGCGGAAATTACATTAATAAGTTAAGGTCAGAAATTAGGTAAACAAGAGTTCAGAGTCAAGTAAAAAATCAACCTAATTTAAATTTACAAACTGAAGTGTAATTGAACTCATTGACTATAAAGATCTACAAAAAAGAAACTACTCTGTGTTCTTACCACAACTAGTTTTAGTTGCATTCCAACATCTTACAGTAAGTTAATTATTAATATATTGGTATGAACTTTTTTCTTCAATTTTTTGTCAAGAGAACAATTACATCTATGTAGTAAAAAAAAGTGTTTTCCATTTTTCACATTTTTTTTCTTTCGTCTCCCAAAATTGATTTGGTTAATTGGAGATCGAGATAATTGTGTTTAATGTAATTGAAGTTCTAATGTGTAAATGATGGTTTTTAAAAATATAGTGCCCTTGGAAGTGGAAAAATATGTACATGTAGTGTAATGTTCTTTAATATTGTTTCTTTATTTCTGCTGCTTTCTGCCTGCATATAATGAGATTGATAGTTTTCTTCCTTCTTCACTATTGTTGTATCTTTTTATTATTTCATTGAATGTTTTATGTACCGAGAATTGCTATCCCCATTAATAATGAAATTATTTAGTTTTCTATAATATATTATTGTTTAATACAGTCTGTTTAAAAAAATATAAAATGTGCATTAAAACTGGCATCCATTTTCTTATAATTTAATCAAATCAGCAGAAAGTAGCAGTACTAATTGTGTACAGAGGCATTCTGGCATTGTGTGTGTGCTGTTTCCTGCGTTGTCCGTGTCTTCACCTTAATGTTGCAGCATATTTGCATTTTTAAAGATTGCTTTACTAAATAAATGATTTCCAAATATTGCATAGGTAGGCAGATCATAACACCATTAAGTGAACAAGTGGATTTGGTTTTCTTAATAAATGCTCGATTGGGTTTGTGTTATGTGACTTCCTGTTCCCTTCTTTATACTAAAGAGTTTTTTAGGTGATGTGTTTAACTTCTTGTATAAAATATCATTGGCCTTTTGGTATGGTTTGTGTGAACTTCAAGGTGGTTTCTAATCTTGGTGGTTGTGTTTTAATCTAATGTGCGTGGTGATAATTTTTTGTTATGATGTAGCTTCCATGGCTAAACATGGAACTGAAGTTAATTCCCATCTATGTGGCTGTCTTGGTAGCTGTTCTCCTTGCGCAGTCAAAAGTGGCGATCATTATAACTGGTGGTGTGGGCAAGAATGGGTCCACGGTAGCTGTAAGTGGGCTGCAGCACCCGAAATTCTAGCTTCATCTCGAGTTGAAGTTCATTCCTTTCAATTTTTGATAGATTAATTCAAAATTTTGCTGTTCGTTGAATTCTAATCTGTAGTTAATTTGTGTTTACACGGATCTTCTGGATTTGATGAATAAACACAAAATGGGTGAATAGAAAAATTAATATAATATCATTTGAACTGAAGGAACAATGTGCATCAACAGTTTCTCTTACACTCAGTTTTAAATATTTTTTGTTGTTTATAATTTTGTCACTCCTTGTCAGATGTTATTTTTTCCTTCCTTTATTTAAAATCATAGTCAAATTTGTTACACTTCTGATGTTGTTTCAATTTAGTTTTATTTCATTTAAGACAAAGAATACTGTCATATAGGTGATAAGAAAAATATTTTATCATCTCTCCATCTAATAGACTAGTTGTGTAATTGGAAAGCTAACAAATTTTCAGACACACGTTATGACGAATATTTTCGCATTATTTCATAAAATTTGTCATTTTAAAAGTGCCACTATCTATCCATATATCTATATTTTATTTTATTTTTTCTTGAATTGAAATTATTATTAAGTTGGGGATTTATCACATTGTTCCTATTGAAAAGTGCTGCGTACAGCTGAAGGAATGATTTCAATTCAAGACCAGTCACAGTAATTAGTGGGATTTTCTGCTGCATGTGGTTCTTTTTAATTATCTTTTAATTTTTTAATGCACTGTTAATTTAGCAATTGGATTTAGTTCCATATTTTGCATGGGCACATTTTTAGAAATTTCCTTAATTTGAAATATTTTTGTTGCTTTCCTTGTGCTTCATTTTGTGAATGTCAAACATAAATATACACCTCTTTTGTCACAATGTGGAAGAATTTTTTTTATGCATGTATTTGCTGCATTTTCTTACAATTATAAAATGTCAATATTTGCACACTTGATTGTTATGTTTTGTTACGTATCTTATAAATTGTTATAGAATAATTGTTGGTATTTTTTAAAATGAACAGTTTTAATGTAGCTTTTTGTAATGTTAAAATTCAAAACGTTTATGAAGAGATCAATATAATAGGAATGTATAGTTTTCATTAGCAGACTAAAATTAGGTATTACCACAAGATGAGTAATCATATAATATTATTTGGTAATTCACGTTTTCATTGCATAAAATAAAAATGTTTTTAGTTTCTGGATTTTCTAATTTATGAAATATATTTCATAAAAATCTTTTAAATATTTGAATTAATTAAAAGATACTTGGTTGAGGCTCTTGTCAATTAATTGCATGGTAAATATTTAAAGCTGTTTTAATTTCTTGTTTTGATGTACTTTTTTTGTATGTGTAGGGAACAAGTGTGTTATCGCCTATAATCCCTTTTAGTCTGGTAGTTGTACCAGCCTTTATAATTTATCGGAAAAGTATAGAACATGTTTATGAGGAGCATCCAGCATTGTATATATTGGCATTTGGTATGGTTGCTGCAAAAGTGACCAACAGATTAGTGGTAAGTTTTGTAAATACTTATTTCACTCAGTTGATGGTGCTGGTGTTATAACAAATAAGTTCTTTTATGTACTGAGTTTTGTGGGTGGAAGTTGGGGACGTATTGATGTGATGTGAATGATAGAAAATCAATTTTTTTGAGCAAATACAAATCCTGTTTCCTTATTTGTCATTGGTGAATACTATACATCAGAGCCAGATAAACATAAGTCATATCTTGCCAACTTTTCTTTAAAGAGGACATAAAAACTAAGAATCATGTTGCCTGACTACAAAGCTAGCATCTGAATTATTTCTGGCCAATTTTATCTAATTTTTTGCTTATTAACCCTCAAGTATTCAAGCGAGCTGCAGGAGTAGCTCAGCCCTTTTCTTTTTGTTTTATTTTCTCAACTTCCAGTGAATCCAGAGTGGTTGGACTATTGGTAGCTTCATATTAATGTTATTCTTACCATTCAGAGTGCTTGGGATGTTTTCATAGTAGTCAAGTTGTAGCCAGATAGTTTTGAAGTTTGTTGGGTAGACTGCCCAAGCATTACATGTAACCTACCCAAGTATTACTTTTATGAGTGATAGGAAGTGTGCCAGGCAGGAAGTTGTAAGGCAATATATACTGTTGGCGAAGTCTTATGCTATAGTGAAATAATCAAGTTTGCTACTCTATTGCCATGAGTGCTGAATTACTCTTGATTATTTTGTATGTCAATAAATGTTGGATATCCAATAGTTCATCCGAGAGGCAATATCATATGGCTAGATTTAAACATCAAATGTCAAGTTTAATGACTTTCATATTATATTCAATTAAACAGTTCTTGTTTAGAAAGTTAATATGGAACTCATAATGGCTAAAATAATGTAATTTTAGCTTGTTCCATGTATGCATCCCACATGATCATTTCCATTATGAAATGGGGTGTGAGTACTGCAGGGTTGAGACTGGACTGGTTTTGTGTTATTGTGGTATGTGGTAAAAAGGTAGTGTATGATTTATTCATAGCACTTTAAAAGGTTTATTGAACAAACTACAGGAGCAATTGTCTAATGCTATCAATTTTTAATGTCTTTACAGTCATGTCTTTAATACTTTAAAACAGTAAAAGTGTGAACATATTGTATAGATTGCATGTTGTAATGTTGTAAGTGCCTTGAGACCTACAGATTAATGTAAAACTTTTCTCTAGAGCAATTGAGTCTCCGGAAAGTTTCCTCCCTACTTTCTGTGTGGAAGGTTTTCGAAAAGTTCACTTAATTCTTTGAGCACCCTCAGTTTAATTTCATTAGCTCTGTGTACTTTTATTACATACCTTCTTTTGTGCCACAATCTTGTGTTCTCTTATTTCTCTGAAAATTCAACAGTTTAAAACCTGAATGATCTCCCTTTTTCACCTTTAAAAGTAAAGACTTTTCTCAGTCGTAGTTAGATCTGTACAATCCCGGTGAAATTTAGAGTTACACAAGTCACTTTCAATATAGTCTCGCTGATTTGGCACACTGTTCAACATTAAAACCTTGTCTTACAATCTTCTTATTATTAGTTTTCATTGCATGGAACTGTGACAGACATGTGGCAAAATGGGGATGTCCAAATTTCAAATAATTAATGAAATAACTCAAGCACTCACTTTGATATTTACTATGACGTTGAATTTCAAATAATGTTCGAAATAAAACAGCATACGCTTTGATATTCATGTGATATTGAATTTCAAGTAATGAATGAAATAAACAAGCACACACTTTAATGAAATAACACAAGTGTGGACTCTTAATGAACTCAGGCAGAAGGAAATCAAACACGTCTACAACGCTTGAGAACTCCACTGTGACTTCATATATGACATATATTGTTAAATTAACTACAGTGGGTGTTTATTTTTTCTAAGCCATTTTAAAAAAATCAAAAATGAGTGAAATGAAAATTTATGATGGTGTTTAAAACTTCTTCATGCAAGCATTTACAAATGTTTGAATGTGAAACTTCCCCTCAGGCTTTAAAATGTATCTGGAGTGGCTAAAGAAACATTTTACCTCCACAGAAGTAGGTGGATACTACATTATTTCTCACTATGTACACGTGTTTTATACAAAATATTAAATAAGTACATAGTAGATACAATGTTGTTTACAAGGTGCTGGTGTGCACATGAATAGTCTTTACTGCATACTAAGTGACATTGGGAAGGAGGAGCAGCTTAAAGATTGGATTTCCTCTTATATCCCTCATTGTATTTGAACTCGCTTTAATAGCAAACAATTACCTCATATTTATTGCATTTTATTACAAGGAATATTCTTATTTAGCCTTACCAGACACAATTTCATAAATAAGATGTGATTTCTGCATACCAACCACAGCGGTGTATGTTTCTCGATGGGCTGTAGAAAGCGTGATACTAGATCTGTATGAAATGTCAATTTCAATTTCAAGCATGAATCTACGAAACACAAGCATGCGTTGTCTGCAATTAAATCTTTTTTGCAAATGTCTGCTCAACCTTGATTTCGAGTATGCTATTTCCATGTAAGAATTATGTAATCATAGGTCAAATATAAAAATATAAGTAATTGTACCAAAATCTGTATTAATATGTAAAATAAAAATGGCTTTGCTTCACTTAGAAGGTCTTGCAAACTAAAAATTATCGATTGCTAATAACTTGCCATTTAAAAATATGCATTTACATGAAAATATGATCGCTAATGATAATGAACATATCATGAACCATTTTGTTTATTAAAATGCTAAGAAAAAAATTGTATTTGTGTTTTTGAGAAATACTATATTGATTTGTGATGGAAAAGGTAAAGATTTTGAAAAGTAGAAAGCTCTTAACCATTGTTAAAATAGAAATTCATGTTCTAAACTTTTTTTAGATGTGATGGTTAAGCTTTGATAAATGAAAACTAGTGATTTCCTTCAAGCTTCAACACTTCCTTTTTTAATGTGGGACTTGCAAGAGGTTGGAATATTTGTTGTAAATGCTGTTGTTAATATTTAATACTATCATGTCATATTCAATGACTTACAATTCTATCCTTATTCTCAGTCCCCCTGTGTACTTACATGTCTAATAAATAACATTTCAATTTCTAATTCATAGATTTTATTTCATATGATCATCATCATCATCATCATCATCATAATAATAATAATAATAATAATAATAAGTATAATAATAATAATAATAATAATAATAATAATAAGTATAATAATAATTATAATTATATTACAATTGCTTTCAAGAATTAATTTTAATTTCTCATTACTAGTTAACACTAAATTGTCACAACTGGCAATACTGAATATTTGAAATATATTGCATTTATTACACCAAAAGTCACGCCTGTTCGTGATAGCTCTTTTATTAGGAGTGTATCCGAGGAAATGGCTTGCCCCTTTCTTGGATCTGCTCTCTCTGGAGTCTTGAAATGTTTTAGTATGTATCCTCTGTTCTTTTTATTGTATTTGAATTAATTAATATTGTATAAAAATTTATTTGCATATTTACAGATATAATTAATAACTGCAAATTCAAATTTTCCTGTAAAGAGCACTTGCTGATCTTCATGAGCCCCTCCCCTTGCAATTCTGTACAATTTCTATCCCTCCAACTTCATTCTACCAAATAGAATAAACAAGATTTTTATTCAGCTCACTTTTCAGTTTCAAATAGTTTTTTTATAACTCATTTTCATCGGCACACATTAAGAATATCTTAAGTTTTGGTTCATAAGATTTTGAATAATAAATTTTAAAGGAATGGTACCAAACTTTGTTCATGTAGTTCATCATATTCTTATATTTCCAATTATCATTACCAATTACATTTGTTGAAAGTCATTGATTGTTCAGGAAGTGTTGAAAATGATGTGTAGAACCTATTTGAATGATGACATTGAAATTGTTTAAGAGATTTTGGTAATCCCTTTTCGATTGGATTTAATTATTTTCATGTTTTTTTTTGTTTTTTTTTTCCCACATCTTTACCAATAAGAATACTTGAAAGAACCATAATATTTTGTGAATTTGCCTAATGTGATTTGAATCACTTAATTATGTAACAAAGCAGGAAAAAGGATCTTGAGTTCAATAACTCCATATTTCATTTATAAAGGCAGTAAATTATGAGAGCTTTTATTCTTCCCTAGTGATAAAAATGAAAAATTTATATCCTGATTACAAGAAAGTGCCTAATTCGTACAGAAGGTTGATTGCCTAATGAAAATCCCAGAGCTTATGCGACATCATCACAATAATTAAGAGATAATTTTCTTAATGTGAATTATATTTCCGAAGATCGTATAGATATTTATTATTTATACTGAGTTTCTTTCAATTTGGTGATAGACAACTATAATTTAGATACATTATGTTAAATGATGGAATGATACCAGTGCACAAATATTTAAATTTATTATGAAACTACCTGAAACACCCTGTGTTGCTTAAGTATTTCTTTTCCAAAATCTTTTAGATAGGGGGTGGAATGAATTATATCTGTAGTTAAACTTGCCCTGACCCCCACCGTGTTGACCCAGCCTCATCCTGTTGCTTCTTGTCCTGTCTGACCCAGCCCCTGCCTCACCTTGCCATGTTTGCTACAGTCAATGTTGATAATCAAGGCTCCTGGCTACTGAAAAGAAAGGCATTGTGTACTTGTGCCAAATTTCCAGTAACAATTTTGAGTCACAATTACTCAAAGCTTGATTTGTTCTAACAAAAAGAATTGAAATCTTTTAGTTGGAAATTTAATGGGCTTTCAGTAACGTGTAAACTACTTTGGTAGATTCCCTCTCCGTTTCATGATATTTGCAAAAAAACGAAAGTGTGCTCACTTAAATTTTGCTTATTTACCTTTTGGATGCATTCTTCAGTGTTAACATGGCTGTTATGAGAGTTTGTTGCTCCAGTTATGGGGTGACTGTAACTGTTTCACTTGTGAACTTTGGTATGCTGCATTCTATTTTTAGATGTTAACTTCAAAATCATGATAATATTGTGGTTTTGGCCACTAATTAGCTGTCCACAGTGTTAACTTTTCTTTAGGTCTACCAAGATTTCAAAGCTCTTTGTTCACTAGTGTGAATTGAAATGTTGCGAATTCATAATCCTATTAAGTGGACTTAAATTTGACTGGCTCAAAAAGGAGCATTTTTAAAACACTAATGTTATCTTTTGTTGTCAAATCAGATTGAACATGGAAAACTAACGTGAAAATTGTCATATTTGGACTTATGATCATCTGGTTCTGAGGTATAGAATAACTAAAGTCAATTTTCATGATATACAATTTTTTTGTTGGTTTAAGCATACATTTTGTCATAAACGATATTCATGTCTTTGCATTACTGGAAAGGAGAAAATCATGAGAGGTGTTGGTGAATGTTTTAGAATTTATTGGAAAGATCTTACTTGCCAGATATAATTACCTTTAACTTATGTAAAATAGTTACATCTATTGAACAATCTCTGTATAGTTATGTATGTTTCATAATAGTTTTTCATGTATGGGTAAATGTTTTTTGGAAATTTTGAAGTACGTATTTGTCGTAATTAGGGATTAAATATTAAGCAAGTATAATTGGTTCTCAGATTTCAGTTTCAATGATTTATAGTGTTCTTAAAAATTGTAATAATTATCTGATTTTTGCAGGTGGCACATATGACGAAAAATGAAATGGAATATTTAGACTCTGCACTTATTGGCCCTGCTATGTTATTCCTCAACCAATATTTTAATTTCTTCATCAAGGAATATATTGTGTTGTGGTTGTGTTTGGTATGTTGTAAAATAAGGCTAATTTTAAATTTTATCAATGAAATAAGATTTTTACTTCATATTTAAGGTTCATTGATTTTTTTTTTATTAGGTTTGCCTTTATGTTACTTAAGTACCTTAAATTTTGCTTCTTTATGATCTTGGAGTGTTAGTGCTTTTTACATCCCTTTTGTCTATTTCTGAGAAACCACTTCTGACTGGGAACAAATTTTTGTTCAGGGGTGTGTACATGCAAGAATAATGGATGTGCACACTATGTGTGCATTCGGCATAGGCTGTATCAGAAAAGTAACCCAACCTTCATTTATGTATAGTATGTGTACAATAAATAAATTCAAAAAAGTTCATAAATAGGTATATGTGTGTGTGTGTATATGTATGTACAAACATGGTTTGAATCTTCTATTTGTAGTACAGTCGAAATCCATTTGTGGGTGATTAGTACTGGAGCACAAGTATGTACAACACAAGTGCCTAAGACTTTCACCGAAACTGATATTCCCTATTTGATCTAGATGGTATCACGGTCCCTTGAATTTGAAAATTTTTTAATTTTTGAAGGGTATGACATTTTCATAGTTTATATAGTTCATATATTTTTCAAAAGTTTCTCATTATTGCTCAAATATTTTTCTTAAAATGTTTTTTGAACAGAAAATAGTGCACTTGAAACAATGGCTCAGGTTCAATTTTCAATAGAACATTAAATTTTTCAAAAATTATGAATGTTAATTTTCTTTTACCTCTCTTTCTACAGCTACATTATTAAAGATGGACATTTTTTCTTGATAAAATATGTCATGCACAATATTTTGAAACTGTCATGTTTTTGCATAATTTTGAATAAAACCATGACCAATAAATACATAAGATTTTCTTGAAAAGGATTCACATATTTTCTCTTTACATTTTATACTTAAATGGAACCTCAAAATTGAACCCCAAACTTCAAATTTGTAAATCAGAGCGATAACCACATGTCAGTTGGGCCGCTTGATTCATGCATGCTAATACTTTAATCAAATGATTGTGGAACCGAAGAAAATCATCTTAATTTGAATTGATTTAATATTTAGAAATGAAATTGCATTAAGAAAAAATCTCTTAAGGAAAGGGCAGGACAAATTAAAAAAACAAAAATTGAACTTTTGTAATTTTTGATTTCCTAGAGTGTGTAGATCTACAATAGTAACAGTGCTAACTTACCAGCATATCTACTATAATTCTCTCATTTTCAATGGCAAAAGAAATAATTTTACTTGAAAATTGTTGAAGCATTGTTCATGAAAATTACATTAAATATACTTCTTTTCAAATGTATGACCAATTGTTCGAAAAATTACAAATGTTTCTTATTTGAGTAATTGCAGGTTGTAATGAAAAGCGCACTTATATCCCAGTATTCAGGGATTGTAGGTTATACTATTGAAATATTTAAAGTGTTGGGATCTTTGAGAAAATATAATTTATGTTTGTTGAAATTCATCAAGAGTTCTCTGAAAATCATGTGAAAACTAAACGCTATATCTTTTAAGATGTAATTTTCAAACAGATTTAATTAAGGAAAAAACTACATTCAATAATAATGTGAGAGTGTTTCTAAATATTAAATTTTGCCATTTTAGAGGTTTTATTAAAAATTGGCCCAGTGTTGTTTTTATGAGCTTTTGCTCTTTTAAAGAAAAAAATAATAATTTTTACTTATTAAATTTTTGGGAAAATTTTGAAATTATCTGACAAGCTTCATATAAAGTATCCCCAAAAACTGAAACTAGTGGTGCTCCACCAGTACATACTTTCTCACATTATTTGTAACTTACGCAGTTTTGGAAAATTCAAAGAAATCAGTAAAAATAGGACTTGCGCCATTTTTATAAGCATACTTTTTCTATTCAAAAACAAAATTGAAAGAAAAATTTGAAGCCATTTTTGAGAGAATAATTTTTTTTTTTTAAATGCCTATATTCCATGCAAAAAAAAATGTTGAACTTAGGCGTTTTTTGAAAATCCACAGATTCTGACAATGTAAACTGTGTCAATTTTTTAAGCACATTGCCCTATTTGAGAAAAATTTTAATCCAAAATTTGGAAATGTTAGGTCTTCATGTAAAAAACCCCCACCCCCCTCCTCAAATCAAATTTGCAGGGCCTCAAGTTTGGTCAGATTGATCAGGGAATATCAATTATAGAGAAAATCGCGTGAACAATTTAGGTGCCAATGTTGACTTTGACGAATGGTCTATGAATTTTTCTGTATCATGAATCTGCAAAATGTGAATTCTGACTACACAATGAGCTACAGGCAGATGGACATTTTTTGGTATCAAGTACACACAAACCAGGACTACCACAACATGCTAAAAGAAGTAATTTACTGCATATATGAGCAAGATTTATCCTTTTTTTATATCAGGACACAGCAATAAAATTTTTGTCAAAGAATCGCCTTATGCTGTTGCAGCATTACAATACTTTCTTTTTACTACAAGACTATGTAGTAGGTGAGAACATAAAATCCATTTCTAATTTGCAGGGTCTTGAGTGTAATCAGTTGAAATGGAGAACATCCTTTTTAAAAGATTTTTAAAAAGATAAAATTCTGTGAATAGTTCAGGCAAAAATGATGTTTTCTGATAAAGGGCAGACAGATTTTTTTTGGAAGAAATGTTCTGGCTCTCTCTCCCCCCCAGCATGTAGGTATTTCCAACAAAATTTTGATATCAATTTTTTGCAGCATTACAGTACCTTCTCCTTATTACAAACAGGAAATAGTAAAAATACGTAAGTTTTAAAGACATGGGTACCTCAAACTATTTGACATTTAAAGGGATAAAAGTTACGTTTATTACCTGGTGCACCCTCCCCCTCCCCCATATCTTAAATATATATGAAAAGTCAGAACTGAAATGCTCCCCCTGAAATAAGTTTTGGATCTGCTCCACAATGAATATATTTTCTTTTTTCATTCATAGTATTGACTTTAACATTCATACTATTGATCCACAATTTGAAGGGTATCCTTTGATTTGACAGTGTTGGTTAAGATAATATTGTATTTATTTGAATTAGCCCGTATACAATGAAAAGTTAATTTCACTAGTCTCATTCTATTTCTGTTGGTTTATCTCAAATTATCTTACATATACTTGAACCCAGTCTATGATACACCAAATAATATGTGTGAAGTTGGTTTCCATAAGTTTTCAGCCTGACCTAGATATTGATCAATGATCTTGAAACTTTCTGAAGTGTAGACAGCCACATCATAAGGCAATTAGGATTTAGAGAGTCATTTTACTTGTTTTAGAATTTTAGTATTGTGCCATGATTAAGTTTGGACATACACTCGGAAAAATTTAAGAGTACTTGGATGGAACATATGATAACAATTGTATTTTGCTGTGAGAAAGAGACCAAACCATTTCACGTAAGAATGTCATCAAAGATATACTATGAGAAGTTGCCTGGTTAGGTGCTGACACAAGAAATCATTCCTCATGTTTAAGTGTTGGGGAACACAAAATTAGAAACTAGAACTTTCAAACAAATTGTACTGCAATTTTTTCTTACCATGCCAGATTGGTTCCCCAGCTTCTATTAGCTCTGGACAGACATTCAAGTGGAATACTCTTGAAGGTTTTGGTCCTCTGGCAAACTTATCAAAAAGAAGTTTTTGTGTCTGTTGCGATAGGTAAAAAAATTATGGTTTATCATGACTAAAAGAGACTGGTCTAAATCTGATGGGATATCACCAAGGAAGTCCAGCATTATCTAATCCCAGAAAATGATCGTGGCTACAATTTCCTGGAATTCTAGAGTTGTTCTGGAGATGGACTTTAAACAAATGAACACTGCTGTTAATGCAAGAAACTACTGAGCCTATTACATAGACCATGTGATGAATTTAATCAGGAAGGCCATGATACGTCTCATGATGTTCGATTGCTTTACAGCAATGCACAAGTGCTCACAGCCCAGATTAGAAGGAATGCTTGGTCATGATCTTCAAAGAGTGGGACTGATCACTGAATCGTGCAGACTTGGTACGCAGTGAAATAATTGTGAGTCATCATTGCCAGTAATATTGTTGGCAATGACAACTCATATAATTATTTCATTGTAAATGCCAACAAAAACTCACCACAATACCAATTGGTACCCAGTGACTGCAGTCTTGTTAAAACTGAAGGAAGGCATTCACAGAGAAGAAAAATGTGAATGGCAGTGAAATGAAGATGTAAACTGTTTTGTAGACCAAATCTCTGACTATTTTTTTAAGGACATAGAAATGTTCATCCCTAGATGTGAAAAGTATGTTGAAAGTCATGGGTGATGGCGGAAAGGAATACAGGTTTTTTGTTTAGATTAGATTTGATTTGATTTATTAATAATTCTGCTATTAAGTGTGAGAACTTGGTGGCAGAATACACTAACTTAACATTACAAACTTAACCAATATACAAACTCTACAAACTTAACCAAAATCACAATGAACATTTCACCGTTGCAATCTTCGTAGAACCCGCTTCACCACACTTCACCGCACCGGCACTGCACTGCACATAATAATAATAATAATAATAATAATAATAATAATAATAATAACAATAATAATAATAACAACAATAATAATAATGTTAATAGTGATAATAACATTAATAATAATAACAACAATAATAATATAATAATAATAATAATACTTAATTGCAAAGAAGACGTAGGTAATTACACTGTATTTTATTAAATATATTTATAACATATCTACATTCAAGAAACTAGTTTATTTTTAAATTTGCTCAGGCTTTGAGGAAAGTGCGATTCGCGAATGAATATTTCCCAACGTCCGTTTTCTGAATTCTTGTCTGAATTTTGTGCATGTAATCCGCTCTACAGAAATATGTAGGTTTCCCTAATTGACTTTGAATTTCTTTCCACGCTCGAAGGCCTGTGTACGCTTTATACATTGCTTAGAGACGTGACTAATCTTCTCCTTTCAGGTGACTCCCATACCCCTTTATTCTTGGTACCTCTGAAAGTAAATTTTGATGCTCTACGCTGGACCTTTTCTAGATTTCTTTGTTGCAAAATTCTGTATGGGTCCCAACATACCGCGCCATATTCTAATAGAGGTCGCACTATAGACATATTTGCTAGTTCTTTGGCTCTCACTGTACTCTTTTTCAGTATCCGCATAACAAAATGTAAAGATTTCCTTGGCTTTCCCTACAACGAAATTGACTTGATTTTCCCAGCTCAATTTACTGTCTAGCTGTATTCCTAAGTATTTGCAAGACGTGACTCGAGGTATAACATTATTGTTCAGTTTGTACGCAGGTTCATTGTAACTTCGACCCCTACCAAACATGATGGACTTGCTCTTTGAACTGTTTTATTTCCATGCCGTTTGTTTCTGCCCAGATATATAATTTGTGTAAGTCTCGCTGCAAAATATCCTCGTCTTTTTCCGAGTTGATAATCCTATAGATTACGCAGTCATCTGTAAAGAGTCGTACATTTGAATATTAGTCGGCAATTCATTCACAAAGGCCAGAAACATGAGTGGTCCGATTACACTTCCTTGTGGAATTCCTGTTGTGACGCTTCTCGAGGTTGACAAGTAACTACCGATTCGAACTTTCTGTTTCCTGTTTCGGAGTAGTTCGTTTATCCACGCTACCACTCTAGTGTCTATTCCCGAATCTATTAATTTCTTTATAAGACGATCGTGTGGAACAACATCAAAAGCTTTGGAAAAATCTATTACTATCCCGTCGACCCTTTTCCCTTCATCAACTACGTCGGCTAGGTCCTGTAGAAGTGAGACTAGCTTACTTTCGCTTAAACTCGTAAAGAAACTGCAAACTTATGGAACCGTCCCATAATTTTGATTTTCATATTACATTTGGAACCACTTCTCCCATTTTGTCTTTCTTCTCTTGTACCATGAATATTGTTTCATAGTTTCTGTTCTGCAGAAGTAAAATTATACTTGAATGAATTTTGTTTTAGGAACTATATTGTGGTCATTTACTAGAATTTGGTTATAATGTAATAATGTCTTTTGTTTCTTTCTTGATTGATATATATTTCTTTCTTTTCAGATATGGGTTACGTTTGATCTTCTACGATATTCATGTCAAGTTTGCGTAGAGATTTGCGAACACTTGAAAATCCAGCTATTCCGAATTCCTGTTAGATCTGCCATTGTGGGATCAGAAAAGAATGGTATGGGCAGTTTAAGTATTCATGGTGGTGGTGGAGGAAGTGGTAAACAGTCTCGAAGTAAACATTCAAAAAAATTTCAGCACTAATTTCAGCACTCTCTGAGAGATGCACGGTATTTGTGACCCAATGAAACACATTTCTTCTCAGTTTAATGATGAGTGAGCTTTGTTGATGTAGCTGGTACTGCATTTTGCAATAAACTCATCTTGGAAGTTAAATGATATATTTTTAGCTCATTGAAAGGCATTATAATGCATGAACTAAATAAGAGAAAACTAGTTTTCATGGCTTTGCAATTTCTTGCCTATGAGATTTTGTAAAGGCGATGGAAAAGCACATGTTCCATTGACAGAAATAGCGTAATGCTTTTGAGGACACAAAATATACTAATGATAAATTGGCACTTTGATATGTAAAAAATGAAAAAAGAAAAGGAAAAAATTTGTATTGAACCCAGAATAGGAAATAAATATGCAGAGTGTTGAGCAATTAATTAGCAGGATATTATAGTTATCTACTGTGCGTATTATTTGTGGTTATCTAAATGGCATGCATACTATCTCAGTGAGAGGTGCATATACTTCATGCTGCATATGTTGTTATCTGTGTGAATATGCAAGAAATTACATGGAGCCTACATGTATTCATTTATTCATAGAGTTATTCATAAGCTTTTTTTATTTAATTGCCACATAATTTATAGTATTTAGAATTATATATTAGAAATCAATGATCTACATGATTTTATGTAAAGAATTTTCCGGTACTGCTTTCTGATGACCATTAGTAATGTGCATTACCACCTGTGATATATTTGCTACTGTTCAGTGGTGAAGACTTTTCTCAATGATAGTAGTTGTAGTTGAGGGTTAGGCCCTACATGGGCTTGCATGAAAAGTTGTGACATATTTGATAGTTTATTTTGAATAGCTTATTACAGTAAAACTCCATTAATATATTTTACACTTATACATTTTTCATATTTATCAGTAATTGTTTTTAAAATCCCACCTAAATTCCTATTCTTCCCAATTTTAAATTATTTCAGTTATGCATTTCATGTTAATTTGTTTTTCATCCGTAAATGTTTGTATAAACATCTGTGTAACACCTGTATAATAACCAAATAATGGCACAGATGACCAATAAGTAAAAATGATTGTCATCTTAGAAGAGATGAAGGAATTTGTGTTTGGTTTAGAGTTTGAGTTGTTTAGTTTTATTGGTAAGCAACATCTATCAGCTTCCGATTAGAACTTGATAATAACTGTAGAGATTGGACTAATCGACAGGGTGTAAGGATAAGAGTGCTAGTGACTCCTGGTAAGGCTTTGCATAATGTTTACCAACATTGTACTGTAAAAATCTGACATATTTGTAGGAAATAACAAAATAAGCAGTATTTAGGTATTACAGGCAATTATGTTGCTGTGATCACACGTTTTGTAAGGAAGATTTTGGCATTATGTAGATGAATTCTTTAATTAAAGAAACTATTATGTGACAAGGAAAGTAGTCGTTGATCAGTTTCTTTCCAAAAATTAGAAATTTCTTTCTTAAGAATATTATATATTATTTCTGTTGGAGAGAAATGCATAAGCAAAGTGATACAACTTAACAATACAATGATTTTGTGCAAGCAAACTTAGATGGTATGAGCTCAAAATACTTTGATTTAAATATTTTTTCGACAGCAGAATTGTAAAACTCCAGTAATTCAATATCCTTTCACCTGTACAATTATGTGAAATTTAAATAGTGAGTTTCTAATACATAAATATTATCAAAATATTGATATAATATTTTTCACAGAGATTTTCCTCATAACATTTTCCCCTGTCACTTCCCTGAAAAATAAGTATATAAAGTTTTACTGTAATTTGTATATTCAACAATTCAAAATTTCATTAACAATATTGCTATTGAATTAATTTTACATTTTCATGTAGAATCATTAAAATCACTTCAAATTTTAATATTACAACATTGATTTCAATTACAGTTTATTGCCAAGATTTCTGATCTAATGCTCTGTATAATTATTTCTAATCTGTTTCCATTACAAATTCAATGTCAGACTCTGTAAGAATAGTGACTTCACCTTTTTCATTGTTCAATTTCCTGATCCTTTAATGAATTAGAAGTGAAAGTGTGACACTTCATTTCTTATGAAAATTGTACTTTACCTTTCTGAAACTTCAATTTCCTTGTCTCCGTTTTCATTCTGGAAAATATTTTGTGTGATTTATATGATAAATACAGCATGCCAAGTGTACAACATGTCCATTATTTATTAGACTTAGAACCAATAATGACTGTTTTGTATTTGTTGAACTTGTCTTGTAACTTACTTGTTTCCCTTGAAAAAGAAAGGGATGTAGCTGTATATAATGCTCTATAAGTGAAGGGTTAGTTTCCCTGTTTATTTTTTATTTTTTTTTTACTTTTCAAAAGTTATTATGTAAAAATGGTCTGTACATATTTAATTAAATTTTATGTGTAAATTTTGAATGCCGTTATTCTCAACTTGTGGCTCAGATATTTTAGAAAATGTATGTTTAGTTATTTTTTGTAGCATGTTTCTTCAGTTAATAAGCAAATATTTATTTTGGAAAAAAGTGCTTAGCACAATTTTTTTTATGTAGATATGGATTATTGGTATTGTTCATAATGGAGTATAAATATTTCATTAATAATAAAAAATTATCATTTGAAATAATAAATCATTATTTCAATTATTTACATCAATTTTCCTTTCTATTTCTTGTAAGATCTTGCATAAATTTGGATTCTGCTATTCCAAGAGGCATTTAAATAACTGTTTCGTATTTCCAAATCTTAGTCATTTGTATTTTCTACTCTGCATTGGTAATCCAAATTCTGTTAATGTTTGTCGTTGAACAGGGATTTCCTGCAACTTCGTCCAACCCACATTGGGTAACAAACTCGGCATTCATTTTCACGTTTCATTTGACCCAGAGCCATTCGTTTGAGATTCACTCTTAACTGACCCATTCAAAAATATTATCAGAATTGCCTGGCAAATTCACGGTGGATGCCGAGAATACGACCGCGAATATAATTATGTATTGTAGACGGTGTAATGTTTTTACTGTTTTCACAGTTTATAGTTACATCAACATTTATGATTTCTGTGACATGGAATGGAAACGTAAAACTTAAACCCCAACCAACTAGGCTTAATCTGCAAGTATAAGTCTACCTCGCCTTTTTCAACTGAGATATGTAGGAAAAAACTCTTCTTATATTCGGGTAAATACAGTATCTCAACTAAGTAGCAGTTTCTTTATTGTTCCTTAACTATGGTCCATTTTACTTAACTTAGGCAGATTTGTTAACATAATGATTGACGTTGCTGAATATTGCTGTAGCCCAGGTATCTACTTCTGTCAGTTTTGTTTTTTTGACAAAGTATCAATATATAGTCTTAAATTTGTTTTGAAATTGTACAAGATTTTAAATGTCTTCATTTTTTAATAACTGGACTTTAATTTAACTGTATAGAGAAAACTATACGCAGACATTAATGATATGGAAAAATAAAATTATTTTTAAAAAGTTTTCCACGATATTTTCAATTACTTCAGAAGCCACAATTCTTGGTTTTCCAATTACAGTTTCTAGTAAATGCAAATTCACTACTAAGATTAGGTTTGTCGACTTCTTGAATCTATGAAATGAATTAAATTGTGCAAAATCTCCTACTTTATCAATGCCTGAATTTTTGCACTAGCAGAATCTTTCAATTTGTGTAATTTTATGTAATAGTGAAATTGAACTTTGTATTGAATAATACTAAGGGAAAGAGTAAATAACAATGAGTTATATTCTACCTAATGGATGATTTACATGGACATTTGTTTCACCATTCAGGTGTTACTAATACACAGAAATAATCAGTGTCCTTTACTTTTCTCAGTGTTGAAGGTATTTTTGGATATTCTGCAATTTCTTTTCAATTACATTAATTTTTTGTTGTATGGGACATTTATTCAAAGCAGTGAAGTCATGGGGTGCTGAATTGGGACCAAGAAGGGGTGTCAGTCAAGGTGATGGCTCTTTAAATGCACAAAATATTTTTAATTTGTTTTTGTTAGAGAAAAGTTTGTGTGCCATTAGTTAAAATCAGTATTTTCTTCTTTTGAAATTTCAAGCCTGCACAACTAATGTGAAAGAGGAGACTTGCTCAGACATAATGTAAATTTTAGTGTAAGCAAAGAATTTTTTCTATGGTGTGATTTCATTTGTAATAAAACAATGTTGACAAAGTTACTGCTTGAACATGGCATTAAAAATGAGTATATATAGACTCTGAAAGTTAATTCCATAATTGATTACATGAGAAATTAACACTTTTAGACCCTTTGTTTATTTGATTACAATAAAATGACCTCTTCGTCAGCAAAGTTCTGTAATTGATCATGTGAATATATTAACTATTGTAAGCTAAATAATTATTGTTGTGCTGGTTTCATGTACAGTGTAAATCTTTTGTGTGGTTTTGGAAGAGCATTTATTGCTCATAATTGTCTTCTACAATACTTGCACATTGTTCCTCTACGATTCTTAAGTATGAGATGTTTTATGTCTAGAAGAGAATGTGTTTCTGATTTGAAGTGAAAGAAACATTTCTCTTCTGAAATATGTTTGAAGTATGGACTACATGTAATGTGATATATTTGCAAATTGGTGTCATTGAATTACGTCCTTATTCACTGAGAATATTGTACATGTACAAAAGACAGTCATATTCAACGTAGTATAAGAGCATGGAATCATCTCTTATGTAATTACATATTTGCAAATGCAATATGCAATATTTGCAATTACATATATGCTTCTTTACCATTTCATTATTTATAATTTTTGTTTTAATGCATTAAATCATGTATGTTTAAACAGGCATACCAACTAAAAATGAATTGAAAACTGCTGTAAGTTCCACTACCTTTAATTTAGCCTAATTTAGCTAATTTAGCCTTGAGTTCATTTAAACTTAATACATGCTGTTAAGGATGATTAATAAACGAATCATGTTCCTACATAGGCAATGAAGGAAAGAGTTTATTAATTGTATAAAGTTTTGTTTTTGATGGGTAGGTTATGACTCAAATGTTTCAATAGAAATCTTTCTCAAGTGCAGGATAAATCAATGTACTGTAGTTGGTTCAATGTATTCATGTACTTGAGTATTATCCTTATTTATCTTAATATAAATATATAAATATAT